TCGGTCAATTGCTGATAGAGATTTTGATTTCTATTGATTTCCTTTTCGATTTCTGTGTATCAATTAAGGTTTTTTTTTTAATTGATGAATCCATTGATAACAATGCGATATCAAAATAAGATGATTAAATAATGTATCAGATATTATATTTTTATATTTATAGAGTTATATTAATATAATAATTTATTTATATAAATTGCAAAATTATATCATATAAGAAAAGAAAGTTGTAAGAAAATTTATATATTTTGAAAAATTTAATTTAAAAAAAAAATTTTGTGTATAATTATGTGTGAAATCAATTATCATTTTTTTATTATTTTTATATTTTGTATATATTTTGTATAATTTGAATTAGAAATATTTTTTATAACAAAATAACATAACAAATCATTAAAACTTAAATATTTTATAGTTTAAGTTTACTTATCTTGTACGAAGATAAGATTAAAAAGAAAATAATAATAATATTTAATTCTTCGGAATAATATTTATATTTTATATTTAAAAAAATTACTTTATATATAATCCATTATATATATTCACAGTATTTCATATAAAACTCTCATATAAAAGTTATTTCTTTCAAAGAAAAGCATCGCTTGAAATTTTCTCAATTTTTTATATTTTCAAGACATTCTGTACATATCTTTTTTCTTTTCTTCTTCTTTTCTTATACTCCCTTTGTACATTCACGATGCATAAATAGTCCCTAATCTAATTCTAATTATAAAAAGATATCGTACAAGGAATATTGACTGAGAAACACCAACTTATATCACATCTCATATTAATTCACATGAGTGTCATCTCACCATCCTCGTTGCTTAAACATCCAATAAATTATGAATGGGAGTATACCTAGCGATGTTCATGCCGACGATAACGTAACCCTTGCTCGCGAGACACACTCCTCCTCGTCAGTTTCATTTTTAGTTGTATCGACACGTGTGCGGGAAATATCGCTGGCAGCGAGGCTCGTTAACGCGGCCTGAAAGCGCTCGCGCGATGGTTATTTTCAACGTTATTCAACATCTTTTTCATGCGCCCATGTTCCTGAAAGGGATATTAAGAGAAACGTCGAGGTCTCACCGGTTGAAAAGGATGTAACCTGCGCGAAACTTGGAACGCCACTTCTCAAAGAATTTTAATTCACCGGGTTCATATGAAAAAGAAGAAGAGGAGAAGGAGGAAGAAGAAGAAGAAGAAGAAAAAGAAGGAAGAAAGAAAAAAAAAAAGAAAAAAGAAAACACGGGAGGAATATAATACCGGCGGGTGGTAAATGTCACTTTCTCTTCCAAGTATCACCGTTAACGAGAGTTAAACGACGATCTTAGGACGGTTTCAGGCGATCACGTAAAGGTACGTGATGAGCGAATGAGGATCTCGTGGGTGTAAGTGATACGTTCGTTTTGTATTATTCGCTCGGAAAATGCAACGATGGTTATCAAGATGATACGCTGATTTTTGGCGTCACGTAGCAGCTATGTAATGGATTAATGTCATTGGAAAGCATACTCTTTCGATTTATTTTGGCATGGAGGTTATGATGATTTTTATTATTTGAAGTTTGCAGTAGAAAATATAAGTAAACTTGTACTATAAATTCACTTGATAAAAAATTGTATTTTAAATTATTAAATAAAGAAGAAAGGTACGAATATGAGATATTCTCATATGTATATTCTCATGTATATATATATATATATATCAATATAAAATAATATATTTTAACATCGATTTGTACAACATTAATTTAAAATAATTAGAGTATTAGTACATAATATTAGTTTGTAATGAATAACATAAGAAAATAACATAAAAAAATAATAACTAATTATAATATAAACTAATAATATAACTAATAATAATATATAAAATATATCAATATAATAATATATAATATAAATCAATAATATATATATAATATAAATCTATTTTAAAAAATGAGAAATGAAAAATAAAATATTATATTATATATTTTATTATATTTTAATTAAATAAAAAATAAATATTTGTATATTAAAAAATATTAATATTAACATTTGTAATAATTCTTCAAATCTGATTATAAGTGATAAATAATATTTATTTGAAGTGAGAAATGATTCATTTTCCAATCTGTTTGATTTATTTTAAATTTTTCTTATTTTTCTTCGGAATAAGTCATTCCCATAAATTCACACTTCAAAATATCTATCAATTTTCAATCAATGTGTAACTAGGATAAATAATTTTTGAACATGAATTTAAGAAAAATTTAATCGTAACAAATTTTATATATTTTTAATAGTACGGTGTCAATAAATATTCCAATATCTAATAGATGATAAATATCATCTATAGATTATAATAAAAACATTCCTTTTGTGGAATTATGATAATTATAACTCAGAAACATTTTACATTTTATCGATTATTGCAAATAATTAGATATCTATAAATATAATCTATAAGATCTTCTATCTAGCTATTTATCTCAAGACATCAAATTTATAAATAAAAGAAAAAGATCGTGTAAACGAAATTAAATAATACTTTAATAATCTTTTTTTGTAGATTTAGATTCAGCATTACATTCTTAAAAGAGAAATAAAGTTAAATTTTTTAAATTTATACAATATAAATATATTAAAAACATGTTGTAAAATGTGTAAAATATCTCCCTATCCGAAAGGATTTATACATGGCAGTGGAAGGCATGAAAAATAAAAAATAAAAACAGTTTATTTTATACAAATCTTCCTCTTTTCCAACTTCTTTTCTTATGATTAATTTTTTCTATCAGATTTTTTTTCGTTGATTTTTGAGAATGATAATTATATAATCTTCATAACAATACAATTAATATCATATTTTCTTAAACGAAAAAATTAAAAATATATATACATATATAAATATTTGAAAATTGAAACTTTTTTGAAAAATGCAAAACTATATAAACTTCGCTCTCGAGTATTACCAATTTAATTAATTTCCAGCGAAGTTACCATTAAAAACATCCTCTGAACCGCATCCTTTGATCTACATCCTCTGTACATACATACATACATACATACATATATACATACATACATACATACATACATACATACATACATACATACATACATACATACATACA